CTCTAACCGCTGAGCCAAACTGGCCAGGGCTGTTCAGAATTTTTAAGCCAATTGTTATTGTCATTATTATTGTTGTTGTTGTTGTTGTTGTTCTTGTCATTAAAGTTAGTCAGGATGGACTCCATAGATTCTACAGGAAGTAGAATGTCTGAGTGATGTCTGATGTACCTCTCAGAGCCCCCACTGGGACTGAAGGACTTTTCTCAGCTACTAGAATGGCTTCTGGCAGGAAGCCCCAGCTCTCAGCACTCATCTGAATTGTGTCAGGTGAAGTGTGTCATCTCAGTCATGGCCACACCCTCCTCCCAGGGTACCCATGTCCAGGGCTGGTTATGTGGAGGTACAAAGGTCTGGCCCCCTTGCCCAGCTTCAGAGTTCCCTATGGGGTTGGCCTGTGTTGAGGCTTCCTCACAGGCCAGCTTCTCCTTCTGCCCAGTCTTCCTCCTCTCTCTGTCCAGAGCTGGTGATCCCAAGAGCACTTCCTAACAAACGAATATCCATCTGAGCAGGCCACAGCCTCTGACACTCACCATTTGGTGCTTTCACTTTCTACATTGCATTTGTCCAGTAGTATATGAGACATGAACACTCTTCTCCCTCTGGTTAGATCAGAGAATGTCCAGAGATAACCTGTCTCACTTTCCCCAATCTCATCCAGACACGTCATAGACAGTGTGATGCCAGATGCCTCCTGTGGGCAGTGCAGTGAACAAGGCAGCCTCCGTCAGCTTCTTCAGGGCCTGCTTCAGCCAGCGTGGCCCCACCAAATGTCATGCCCCTTGCTGGACAGCACATACCTGGGTGACTGTGGAGTGGGTGCAAAGGTCCAGTCATTTGGGCCCAATGCCCTAAATGTCCATTCCCAATCCCCCACCCACCAGCACCATACTTCTCTCTCTTCATCTATGAAAATCTTACTCCATAAAATCCATTCATTTATCAAATATTTATGGAATCACTATTATGTGTTCGGCTCCATTCAAGGCACGGGAATACCGCATTGAACAAGATCAAGCGCCTGAACTCACTGAATTTACATCAGTAGTCTTTGAAACACTTTATTGACCACACCAGTCCTCCCCTTTCTTTGAAATACCATAAACTTTGTCTTTGTGGTCACATCACCATAAATATACTCAGCCAGGCTAGAAATATGAAACTCATATCTTACTTGTCACTCTCCATCTACATTCAGTCACTCGTAGAAGCCCTACTTTGTTATATCCTTAGACGTTCACAGCTCATTCTGCTCTCCCGTCTCCACTCAGCCCTCGAGCTTCGCACTCTCAGCCTAACTCAGCGTAGAGCTTTTCATGGCTGGTGTTACATCTCTGCAGTCTCCATGTCTAGCACCGTGTCTGGGATATACTATCCTCTTAATTTTGAACTGAACTGGGTTTCTGCCATTGTTTGCATGTATATGTATATCTTAATCTTACGCTTTTATGTGCCTGTGTCTTGACTCTTCAACCAGGTAGAGTACATTCATGGGGGTAGTCTTTTGGGCTATTTACAAATATTCCAGTTCTCTTCTGGGAACATTGTAGAATTCTATCTCCCATTCCCTTTAAAATTAAGGATAGCCATGTTACTTGTCCTGGCCAATGAAACATAAACAGAAATCATATGTTCCAGTTCCTGGTAAAAGCATTTAATTACCCCGTTCAAGATACTGCTTCTATCTTCTCCCCTTGCTACACGGGAAGCACAAGAAGAAATGGAGCATCCATCAGCCTGGGTCCTTGAACGACAGAGATGAGCAGAACTTTCTGCTGCCCTGTGCTTGACGTGTAGCATAAGCAAGGTACAAACATCACCATCCACTAAGATGTGGGAACTGTTTATCGTGGTCCCTAACCCGACCGCTGGTCCCTAGGACAGGATAGTGTCACTTATCTTCGTGTCTCCATAGTGCATGTGCAAAACAGACAGGAATAAAAACACAGTGTTTACATTTGTATTTCTGATCTTTCCTAATTCATCAAGTCCAACCTCAAATATTCCTCTCTTATCTGTTCTCTCCCATACCTAAAACACAATTTCTGCTCTATTTTGGCACAATCATGGTATCTAAACTATACAAATTAAGATGTCTAATCAATTCACAGTCCAGTGTTGCTCACTCACGTAACATTGTGTGTAAAACGACACGTCTGCCCTCTGACGACTGAACACATCGCCCGGCACAGCTGTAGGCGTGCTCTCGGAGGAGGGAAGGGAGGCGGCAGCCCTGGCACACAGTTCTGAGCAGTAAAGAAAGGGACTGCAGTAATCGGATATGTGTGTGACAGCACAGGTCTCCCTGTGTCCTCCACCCCTGCAGGTGGCACCATGGCATGGCAACAAATGTAATAAAATGTTCCTGCACTTGCCTTGATATGCCGATGAAAACACTCACCGTGGGGCATGTAATTCTGTGGAAAAAATATCCTCTTTTTATGATTGTTTAGAAACTCCACTGTTAAACAATAAAGTATTTAAAAAGGAAAGAGTTTCAACACAGAGCCTCTTCCTGAAAGAAATGCCTAACATACTTATTCTCTCTGTAGTCCTTACAGTCACTTGAAAGACATTTTTTTTTTCTTTTATCCTCACCCGAGGATATTTTTCCATTTTTTGTTCAGATAGAGAGGGAGGGAGAGAGAGGAAGAGAGAGAGAGAAACATCAACGTGAAAGGGACACATCAAGTGGCTGCCACCCACACGACTCAACCAGGGCCGGGGACAAACTGCAATCGAGGCACATGCCCTTAGCAGGAACCAAACCCGGGTCTCACAGGACCACAGGCTGATGCTCTAACCGCTGAGCCAAACTGGCCAGGGCGAAAGGCATATTTTTTTCATCATATAAATGTATTATAGATTACTCCAATCTCATTTCATATACATCAGCAAAGAGCTAGCATGTATTAGATCATAGAGTTCAAAACAAAAGACACCCACAGCCCTAATATTTCCCTGCTCCTATAAACTGCTCCACCACGATGCCTGCCATCTCCTCCAGCCGCCACACCTCCAAACACACCCTTTCCTAGGAAAAGGCCCAGCTAATCATCACCCATCTGTTGAATTCCTGGAAGTTAAAATTAAGGTCATCGTCACTATCTCTATGGTTATGTATTTTCTAATCTCTCCAAATGACATTTTTTCACTCAGCATATAAGCAAAAATTTTAAAGTCACTAATAGCTTTGGGGAGAGTATAAGGCATACTTCTGGTGGTAATAAATATTGGTACCACCTTTTGGGGAGTAATTTGACTATACATATCAAAATCTCTATAAATAGGTTCTCAGAACCACCAGTTCCAATTCTAGGGGTTTTTCCTCACCCAATCAGTAGACAGTGTCTATAAGGATTTTTGTTGCAGGGATTTTGACACACAGACATAAAAAAATATCTGGAAGGCTACATACTAAAATATTAACTCTGGTTATCTACATGTAAAACTTGAAAAATTACTAGTTTTTTTCTTTTAATTATTCATCATTGTGTCTAATGTTTCTATAACAAACACCTATTACTCTTGTAACACTGTGCCTTGCTTACATTTTCTCTTTTCGGAAAAAAAAGGAACTTTGAAGTATGGAGATAGATACTCTATAGATTGGAATTTGGTATTACTGTCTTGAATTACCCACAAGTCAAGTTATATTTTAATTGATTCGACAGAGCAGATTAAATGTGAAAAGCAAAATGGTCCACTCCCTTACACAATAAAACCCTTGTTTCTTTTCTAGTTACTTCCACTTACACAGAGACTTGTTGAAGGAAGATGTTTACAACCCCATTCATATTCTAGATCATTTTGGCCATGAAGTCATAATTCTCCATAAGAGCACAGTGATTTTTTTTTTTTTAAATGAAAAGAGATACCTGAACAAAACCTCATTGTTTGGGAATGCAGGATACAGCAGATAGTGATATAGAAATTGACTCCAACTTTCCTGGGAGCCCCCAAGTTAGAAAGCATCCCTTTCCTTTACATCAGTTCCCGGTGACACACGAAAGCAGCAGCGGTGGGGACTGAACTCAGACACAACAGCCTGAACACCACTGCGAACTGCGAGGCAGCCAGACGGCAGCTGTGGGGCCGAATCAGCTGCACGCCACAGCAGCGAAGTGCCCAGTCACACATCTACAATCAGTTAGGCAGAGCTTCCAGCCCATGCTGACGCAATGGCAAGGATTTCAAATGCACCAAACATTTTATATTAATGTCTACAGCACTAATGCATTTTTAGCTGGCAGAAGAGAGCGAAACCAAGGGCGTCTGCATTATTTACTCCAGAGAAACCAGCTGTGAACCATCTGTCCTCAGCCACCACCAAATGTGGTCTTTTCTATGCTACACCCTTGCCTTATTCCTGGGAGCTCCCTTCCCCTAGTCTTGGCCCAAGAACCTGAAGCACCAATGTTTCCCTGAATACAGAGATATGGGAAGTTAATTTCCACAGAGCAATCGGTAACACAAAAGATCTCTTAATGCTACAAAGTATTACTAGTTATTCAGCTGCAAAAATTATTCATTTCTCCATCCTTCATGCTAAGGCTGAATGCAATGCTTCCTCTATATCATATGGAAGGGGGCTGGAGCATACAGCATGGAAAACCAGTATTCATGCACTCTAGGGTCTACAAACTGGTTCAAGGTTGTAAAAGTTGAATCGAAAAGCCGACCAAATTAACAATAGGAAATAGGTCGCATATGGCCTAGACAAGATCCCAAAACACCTACAAAGCATATGTGGTGTGTACACTTGGGTCTAGTTGATTTTTTAGAGACACGTTGGCTTTTCAGGAAATTAACTGTCCTGCTCTGAAGAACCAGAGGAACAATATTAGTAAGTAAATCAAGACCAAAGCCCATCTCATAGTGATTACATACTATGTTTGATCGATATGGGTTGTAAAGGAGAATATAAACATGAGACCCCTCAAGAGAGAAACACTCAAGAGCTTTGCATTAAAAATAAAAGCAAACCATCTATACAAAGGGAGTTCAAAATTTATTTATACATTTGATTAATTTTTTTTCTTTTGCTCACGTTTATACACTGAATTAAGCAAGTAGGAATTAAAATATAAAAAGATGCCAACGCTTTCCCAAACCTGATCTGAGAATTAGATGCTGAGGGACACAAACATGCAGCACCGATAGCTCCCACTAACCTGAAGCACCAGATGATTCTCTCATTTCCTATCTTACTAACATTGCTGTAATTATACTTCCAATAAGAGGCAAAACCAATTAGAAAAATACTATAACATTTCATTGGCAGTAGAGATTAAATATGAGTTCAGTAATCAGCTCCTGCAAACATGCATAAACAACGACAGGAAGAAACCTGTCATCCTGGCTGCTCAGCGGTGTGGGTGGCAGTTGAAGTCAAGGTAAAAACACTGAAGGTGAACAAAATCGAATTTTAAAAAAGCATCTTGTGGTAGTTTTCAAGGTCAGTTGACAAAGGCCAGATGTAAGTAAACATTTCTCATATATCCTGAAAGAAAAAGAAAACCAAATTACTGCAGGCAGCAAAACAAAATTCAAAGCCTTTGTAAACCACAATGAAGTTCCTTCCAAAAACACTCTTACTACATCAGGCTTAAGTGACCATTTGTTAATTATTTAAGTCCCAATGAAATGATTTAATTTTTGAATCCCACTACATTCATTCACAAAATAGTCTCTGTCAACAATGTAATGGCATGGTAAGTGATGGCTCATCAGCTATGTTCTTAGAGATAAGCTGACATGGGTCACAAATAATGATGTTCACAAATATTGCCACCCACTTCCATAGTTAGAGCAAGGACAGGACTAACACAGTGTGAAGCAGAGCAATTTAAATGGAAATATATGGAGCAGTTGCATTGCATTAGACAGTAGGAAGGTGACTTCTAAGGAGACTATGAGAAAGGGAGATTGATCAAATGAGTCCCTTCCCCGCCAACTGTGTGCAAAGGTCAAGAAATCACCACCAACCCACCCCAGAGAGCTGGCCAAGTTATAGTTGGAATTCAGATTGTTCTCACACTCTGGGACATTAAAATTTCAGGTTGTCTCATAGGTCATGTCAAATAATTCACTGCCCTTGAAGACAATGGATATAGAGTTTCCATCATATCCCATAGGGTCTCAGCTAATGGTATCAGAGAAAAGGTCATTTGAAGTGATTCTTTAATGACCCACCTTACATGTATCATGAAAACTGATAGAGGACTCTAGAAAACCAAAATGCATTTTTAAATACCAAAGGAATTTTAAATTATCAAAAAATAAATATTAAGTAATATGATAAGAATGTGATTTAAATTTTAAAAGGTTTAAAAATAAAGATTAATGTAATTTGTCTACCAACATACATTTATCAGAGCCTGCTGTCTATATGATGTTTCAAGAAACCACTTTTTCTTTCCTTGGCTTTCATCATAGTTTTATTATATTTTCTGCCTGCCTTCTTTCTTTCCTTTTGTCCTTGGCTTTTCACTGGTTCCATTATTTCCTCCTCTCATTCCTCAGGGAAGCTCTCTCATCTTCTAAAACTTCTAAATAAATAACACATTTTAAATATATTCTATATACTAACCTTTTGTCAACTTTGTATTTACAAAACATATTCATTGCTGGACCCTTATTCTAAAATTTTGAACATAAATTACTTTGCATTTTTATGTAGATAATTGTATCATCTGTGGTTTATTTTATTTTATTTTATTTTCCATGATTGTCACAGCAACTTTATCTGTAATAGTCAACAACTGAAAAAACCCAAATGTCCTCAAATGGGAGAATGGTTAAACAAATTGTGGTATATCCATGTTACAGAATAATACTCAACCATAAAAAGTAATAAACTCTTTATACACACAAAAAATTTGATGGATCTTCAGAGAATTATTTAAGTGAAAAAAAGCCAATCCCCAAATTTACATACTACATGATTCCATTTATATTAATACTTTTGAAAAGATAAATTTGGAGACAAATTTTAGTCCTGGAGACAGTCTTTTAGTCCTCAGTAGTCGTATATGAGGACTCATTCTAAGAAGGAGATAAGTGTGGTTATAAAATGGTAACATTAGAAAGATTATTGTGTTGATAGAAGTATTTAGAATCTTCCTTACTCTTTTGGGTACATGGACCTCCACATGTAATAAAACTGCATAGGACTAAGTACACACAAAGAGACACACACACATTGAAGTAAAACTGAGAAAACCTAAAGATCAATGAATATTATCAGTGTTAATATTCTATTTCATCTGTGATTATTTTCAATCCTTATATCTGATTTAAAGAAAATGTTTTTGATATATTTTCATTATAGATTTTTGATTACTTTTTGGTTAAAAAAATGTCCTTTCTATTCCTAGTTTACTAAAAGTTGGTACCAGAAATGAGTACTGAAATTCACCAAATACTTTCTGCGTAACAATTAAGGTGATCATATGGTGTTTGCCCTATAATTTATTAGGTGGGTTTTATGTTTGTTTTACTTTATTTTGTTTTTTGTTTGTTTACTCATTCATGATAAATCAAGCTTGCATTTTGGAATAAATTTAGTGTGACAGGGACATATTGCTTCTTTTTAAAAATTTACTATTGGCCCTGGCCGGTTTGGCTCAGCGGTTAGAGTGTTGGCCTGCAGACCAGAGAGTCCCAGGTTCGGTTCCCTCTAGGGGCATGTACCTCGGTTGCAGATTATCCCCGGCCCCTGTTGGAGTTGTGTGTGTGGCAACCACTCGATGTGTCTCTCTCACATCGATGTTTCTCTCTCTCTCTCTTTCTCCCTCTCTCCCTCTTCCTCTGTCTGAAGATAAATGCAAAGATGTCCTTGGGTGAGGATAAAAAATAAATAAATAAATAAATAAATAAATAAATAAATAAATAAATAAAAATTTACTATTGAATCTATCAAAAATTTGTGAATTTTTTTTGAATCCATGTATATGAGTGAGGTTGGTCTATCATTTTATTTTCTGTATAGTCTTTGCCAGATTTTGATGACAGTTACATTCAGCTGCATAATCCTTTTTGGAATTACTTCCTCCTTTTCATTTATCTGAAAAATATTTCCAGACATCTGAAATCATCTCTTCCTAGAACATTTAGTAGGATTCTTCTGTAATATGCACAGGCTTGGTTTTTATTTTATGGGAAGACAGTCACAAATTATCCAACATTGTGTTTGCATCATTTTGAATTTGCACCAACAATCTGTGAAAGAACCTGTTTCTCCACAGCCTTGCCAACAGAGTGTATTGTCGATCTTTCATTGTGGGGAGGAGGGAGTTGCCAAACAGTGGGTGAGAAATAGTATTTCGGTTGAGTTCTTAATTTGTATTCCCTTTATTATGATAAGTTCACTGAGTGCTTTAATTTCAAAGATAACATTTTTTATTCCTAAAAGTTTTACTCTTTTTTTTTTTTTTTAAATCTTCTTGGTTGGCATTGTCTTGCATTTTCATTCATTGTTTTAAATCCAATGTTTTAAACATAGCTTTTAAAAATTCCGTATCTGGTCATTTTATCACATCATTGAGTTCTATATCTTTGTTGTTTTTTTGACCCTCAATCACAGCCATCTGTTTCCTTGTGCATGTGGTAAGTGCTAGTCACTGTTTTATGCTTGGAATGCAATCAAAGGGGCCAGCTCTGGCGGCATATGGAACATAAATTACCACAAGGAGAGACTAAGAGTAAATAGTCAACAAAACATGTAAATTCATGATGTTAGAGAATTATGCTAGAAGTTGTAGAGTGCTGCGGGAAAAGGAGTGGAGCCTGGAAAAAAGATGGCAAGAGCCAGGGGCAAAGGCACAGGTGGCAGCACTAAATACATGGTCCAGGAACCCTCACTGAGGTGGAATTCAATGGGAAACTTGAAGAATCACAAATACTATAGATATTTTGGAGAAGTAGGTAGAGTAAGCAGCCAGTGCAAAGGACATAAGGTGAGAGCAGCCAGTTCCTAAAGTTTTCAGAGAACAGCAAGAAGCAAGCTTGACTGGGAGGAATGGGTAAGGGCAGTGCGGGAGAGTGCCGGAGGGGTAAATGGAGTCTAGATCATGGAGCATCTGGTAGGCTACTGCAAGGACTTTAGCTTTTACTCCAAGTGATTTGGAGAGTCATGGGAGCCATTGGAGGGTTTTGAGAGAAGAGTGATGGGATCTGACTTCTGTTTCAAAGGCATCATTCTCATATAGAGAACAGATTCTAGGTGGGGAAGTGGGGAAGCCATGAAACCACCTGAGAGACTATTTCAAGAATCTAGATGAGAATTGATAGTGGTTGGAAGCAGGAAAATAGTGCTGAAGGTGGCAAGAAGTTGTTGGATTGGATATATTTTGAAGGAAGTGTCAAGAATATTTCCTGATGTATCATCTATCGGGGGATGTGAGAGATGGGTTGCACCATTATGCAAACAGGAAAAAGTGCGAATAGAGCATTAAGGTAAAGGGATTAAAGGCTAAGTTTGAGATGTGTTAAGGTTGAAATGTGCATTAGATATGCAAGTACAGATGTTGTGTAGACAAATGGACATGCAAGCCTAGAGTTTGGAAGAAGAAGTCTAAGCTGAAAATTAAAATTTGGGAGTAATAAGTATGTAATATTTGATTTTATGAGAATAAATGAGGTCACCAAGACATTAGGTAAACACAAAATTCAAAAGGTAGTCTAAGGTGGATCCCTGAGGCACTCCAGTGTTTAGAGGACAAGAAGGTGCAGGGAATTCATCAAAGGAGAATGAAAGTCTTGGCCGCTGAAATATGTGGAAACTCAGGAGAGTATAGTGTTCAAGCGTCCAAGTAAAGAGGGTTTCAAAGAGGAGGATGCAGTTCACCATGATTTATGATACTGATAAGTCAAAAACTAAAGACTGAGAAATAACAATTGGATTTTGCAATGTGGACATAGTTAGTGCCTATGACAAGAGCATTTTTGTTGGATTGCTAAAGTCTAAAACCTGAGTGGAGTGGATTTAAGAGAAAGGGGATGAAGAAAATTAGAGATGGCAAGAATAGACACCTCTTGAAGTTTTGCTCTAATAAAGGGGAAATAGCAAGAGGAAAGGTGATAACAGTATAATTTATGTTTATTAATATTTTATGCTGATGGGAGTTTTCTAGTTGAGATGGAAAATCTGACAATTCAGGAGAAGGAAAAGTATTGGTAGAACAAAGTCTCCCAGTTAGTGGAGGAGACAGAAACTGGTCCAGAAGGAAGGACAGGCATACAGGTAGTGATGTCTGTAGGTAAGCAGGTGTGGAGGGGGAGCTGGGAGCCTGAGGAAGTTCTTACCTTTCTGTCACATTTCTTTCAAGTAAGGAAAGAGTTAATAAATACGTTGGACTTGGATAAACTGCCCCACTAAGAAAACATCAATCACCCACCCTCACATCTCATCATGAGAAAACAATGTTCCTTTTTTTAATTGGAGGGGAACTTAAGCAAAGGTTTATAGCTCACTTACATAAGGCCTACCAATAGTCATTGGTGAGACCAATTCTTATGCTCCTAGCAGCAGCCCATGCAGGATTCATTTCCTCTCCCATCATCTTCCCCTCAATGCCAGGTATTTTTCTAGGTTCTTTCTAAACTTGGGGAGCGGTTGAGAAGAGGAGAAAATGTGCAGCCAGTTTCCAAGTCCTATCCAAAATCTGAGTTTCAATCACGTTTTGTAACTTAAATATTCCAAAAACTTGGATATTGTCTTAAATTCACAGCGCCCCACTTTCCATATGACTCCTCCTCAAATATTTGTATGAATAGGTCAATAACTTGTAAACTGTAGCACATGATACAAAAACAGTGTGTTTAGATTCTTTTCTCTCTTCCATGTTGTCTACTTTCTGAATGCCATAGTGATACACATGAGTCTATATCATGGATAAATAGACACGTTCATTATGCAGTCTCTGCAAGTTTACCTGATTTCAGTACTCTTCACTATGTATACATTTGTGAAATCTATCTATCAATTTTAACTACTGGATGCCTTTTAATAAAACATGCATGTCAGATTCCTAACAGCTTTTCTTCTCAAAAATTATATTTTGTCCATCAAGTATTAAAGAGTGGTCTTCTCTAGAGTTTCCAGATCAGCAAGCACTTGATTATTTTGTTGTATTATACCAGTTTGAAGATTTCTATCTGTGCCATTTTTTGTTGTTGTTGTTGTTGTTGTTGTTGTTGTTGTTTTGTTTTGGAGAAGCTACAGACATACCTGGGCTTCAATAAAAGTGTGAAGCCTGCTGTGGTTAGTTCTGGTTTTACACACACCGCAAACCCCACCATCATTTGCATTCCAGTGTTCTGGTGCTGCTCCAGTGATATATGGTGCACACAAAACACATTAAACACATATTACAAGTTGAAAGGTTTTCTTCCCAGAAATCTGTCAGGACATTTCATTTTCAGAAAGTGCCTTTTGCTGTAGGGTTTTTTAAAAAATCATTTTGCAGTGAAAAATTAAATACTGGTTTCTTTGATATGCTAGTTTCACTGAAAAAAAAAAAAGTATTCCTAAAGAATGCTTACTATTTTTATAACCATATTTCACTTAAAATCTTCCAAGAAAAAAAATGTTCATCTGTGTTTGTTGTGGGTCTGGGCCAGGGTGATGAAAAGCTTTCTAGTCCAGGCAACCACGCTGCGAACAAAGGGCAGGCGTCATTTTTTTATTGTGATTGGCCAGAGCTGAAATCAGGACTTTCTCCCTCTCTAGAAGCTATTGTGGAATTTACAGTAATCACCCTGGCTGACTGCCCATCACACAGCTGAACAGCACACCAAAAAATATCTGGGGAGAAGGCCACAGCATATTTTAAAAATTCTCATTGTTTTTATTCTTCAGATTTGAAAGATATTTGTTAAGAGAAAACGAAAAACTCACCCAGCTGTTACCACTATTCATATTCCAATAGCCTCCAAAGTGCTCCAGGCCACCTGGTTGACTTTTGCCTTGGAGTCGGTCCAGAAAAGCATTATTTACCCTTTAAAACAATGAAAAATGTGTAAGTGAAAAGCTTGCTGCAGGGCTGAGAGATTTTTGAGAACCTAATGTGCTGTATGACTGCCTATGGGGACTGCTTCCTCCCTTCAGCTTAGAAGAAATCTACAGAAACTTCTTTTCACATTACCCACATGACATGCTATTAACAACCCTTTGCTGGTGCTGTGCCAGTTGTGGCTCAGGCCAGAGGATCACAGCTCTTAACTTCAGCTCCACCGGTCCCTCTTCTGTCAGTTCATCAAGAACCTTCGTCACCCAAGCAGCCATGCCCCTTAAGGCCACGCCGGGCAGGAACCCCAGAGGCCGAGGAAAGACAGAACTTCACAAGAACCAAAATATGAAGGGAGACCACAAATACTCCGTGGCACCGTTGTGGAAAGACAGATGTCCCTCCCATATGCCGTGTACCCCCTGTCAGTCTTGCTAAAGTAAATCCCACATGCGAAAAATAGAAGGAAAATGGGACTATAAGAAGGGAAACCTGAACTTTCAAAAGAGGGAATGAGTACCTCTTTCATTGATGTTCAGTCCTACTGGCAACAACCGATTTCAGAAATTAAACTTAATACATAAGAGGTAAAACCGTGAAGAAAGTGGTTATTATAAAGATCAGGATATGGGTTAACTGTAGAGTGACAGTTGTATTCCATTTCTGGAGCTGGTTACCTGGTTGTTCACTTTATAATTAATCATTCTACATACTTGTTTCATGGACTTGGATATGCTTGTCCTACTGAAAAACTTAAATTTTAAAATTGAAATGTGGCCCGGCTGGTGTGGCTCAGTGGTTGAGCAACGATCCGTGCACCAAGAGGTTGCAGGTTCAATTCCCAGTCAGGGCACATGCCCAGGTTGTGGGCCTGATCCCCAGTGGGGGGCATGCAGGAGGTGGTCAATCGATGTTCTCGCTCATCAATGTTTCTCTCTCTCCCTCTCCCTTCATCTCTTTCGAAAAACAAATAAAGAAAAAAATTGTTTTTTAATTAAAATGTAAAAATTTTTAAGAGTAAATTAAAGGCAACAGCATGCTCTGAGTTGGCTTGGTATAGAAGAGCTGAGTCAGGGAGGTGGACACTGGAGAAACAACGTTGTGGCAGGTACCCTATGATGTCAACAGATTACTGAGGAACAGTGTCATTAAGACTGTAAGCTTCCTATTAGAAGCAGTGCCTGATGCACAGCAGCAACTCAACACATGTTTGTGGGAGGAAGGGTAGCTTGGCCCCAGGCACATTAGCCTCCTTTTCGGCCATGAAGATTAGGAGACTGTGGACATGGTGTATGACTGTGGGAGGTTTGGGAATTTTGAGGAAAATGATTGCTGGGAGCAAAGTCAGAGACTGGGATTTTGTTTGTTTGCCTGTCTGTGCTTGCTCAGGGCTAGCTAACATGCCAACTGCACGTGGACCCGGTTGGCTCTCTGCTTCATTGGGGGGCTATTTTCTCAACAACTTCAAGTCCCATCAAGCACTGGTTACATCTTAGTTATTAGAAAGCTTTTTTCTTCTCACCATAACATCTACCCAAGGATCGTTCATATTCTGGGGAGCTTGGCTCACTGCAGAGTGCACGTTTAAGCCACCTTTACAGGACTTCTCAGCACACGGATTGAACAGTATCTTGTGAGCTGGGGACCCACATGTTAAGGAAATGAAAGCTGACCCTGCTTCCCCTTAAGCAACACAACCAATAGTATTCTGATGGCTCATACATCCAGGAATGTTTTTATCCAACCTTTTTGTCAGTAACAAAGATAGACTTTCCCTCAATTCCAGTCCATATCCAAACCTGTTGGCTCCACCCACTAAACACATCCTGAATTATTCACCCATTTCTTTCCATGGCCACCATTCTAATCCAAACCACATCCTCTCTCCTCTTGCTTCTGGTTCCACTCCTGCCCTCCGGGATACGTTCTCCACGAAACCAGCCCACTGAACCATAAAAGGGGCCGTGCCTGCCTTTTGCTTAAAACCCTGCCATGACTTTCCATTAGTCTTAGATTAAAATCACTGGCTTAGAATTTTGTATTTTCTGGCTCTTCCTATATTTTCTACCTTCTTTCATATTATTCTTTTTCTTACTATCTATAGTCCACTCATTTGGGACTCAAAAGTCCAAGCTCATTCCCCCCTTCGGACCTTTGCCTTTGTTCCTATACCTGAATAGGGGACATCCAAATGTTTTGTTCCCCAATCTTCAAGTGACTAGCTCTTGTCCTGTGATGTCACCTCTTTTTTGAGGAATTATCACCTCCGGTCTCTCCATCAACATCACACCGTGGTATGGTCCTCGTGGTATATTATCATTGTCTAAAATAATCTTGCTATTAAATTGTTGACTTCTATTTTTTTCCTCCAGATTCTAATTTTCATGCAGTCAGGGACCTTCTCTGCCTGTTTAGTCTATTCCCAGTGCTGAGAACAAAGCTTGCACATGCCCTGATATATAAAAGGTAAAGGAAGGAATTATCCAGGCACATGGTCTCCACCTCTGCCTGCTTCTGTGACTGCAGCTGTATAGTGAAACCACCTTTGCTGGTGAGGGCTGGAGGCGAAACTGCTCTCAGTTCATTCGAACACTATGTGGACTGATGACTTATCACGCATGTGAAGTGATAGGATTTGCTTTTGAGCATCAGTTATTAGGAGGGCAGCAGAGGGGGTCAACCAGAGATCATGGGTGGTAAAGAGATTCTTTTCCTCCATTCTTTTTTTTACTTTTAATTTGTTTTTGTTACAGTTGTTTCTCTTTTTCCCCCATTGACACCCTCTTCCCCATCCCCCCCCGCCCCATCCTCAGCTTTGTTGTCTATGTCCATTGGTCATGCATATATGCATATAAATTCTGTGGTTTATCTCTCCCCTCCCCCCAACCCTCTCCTCTGAGGCTCGTCAATCTGTACCCTACCTCTGTCTCTGGATCAGTTTTGTTCATCAGTTTGTTTAGTTCATTATATTGAGAATTCAAATAGGAAAAAAAAAAGTACCAGTTTGTATTTTTCTTTACTAGTGTTAGAAAATACATACATTTCGTGGCTGTCAAACTAATGCTCTGGCCTTTCTGCTTAGGGTTAACTTGGATAAAAACTGTTACAAGGATGGTTCAAGTTTTAATATATGAATCCCATTCACTCCAGTTTTCAGCTCATAGTCTAGCTCCTTTCAAGTTCTTGACCTCCATGGTCTGTCTTTTTCTGTAGTTTAGGCTTTCTTCTCTTCTGCAGAAAGTTACGCTGCCTGAGACGTGGGTGCACTCAAGGGCACTCACTATAGGACTCATTGAAAGCCTTGTGGGGATCTCACAAGCTTTTGATTATAAAATTCAGGATTGCGTTTTTGGCTATGTGAGCTTCTAAACAGTAGAAAGCACACTGTCTTTGTGACCCTAATCAAATTAATGTCCTTGAAGAAAAGCTAATTTATGTCCCTGCATACAGACTGCATAGTTTGTGTTGTTGCCCTCAGCAGGAATGAGCACAGCTGTTAAGATCACAGCTATTTTAGTCATTAAAAGGTTACTGAACAAGTATTTTCATATGATAACATGGAAGAGCTCACTGTGAACTCTAAAAGACAAAACAAATATAAACACTTTTTTTTTGTACGTCCCCTAGTAGGAACTGAACCCGGGACTCTGGTCCACAGGCCGACACTCCAACCACTGAGCCAAACTGGCCAGGGCTAAATAGAAACTCTTTTTGAAAACTGACTCAGAATATAAAAAATGTGTTTAAAGACCTGATAGTTATTTTCAAACTTATCATTAAGTTTATTATCCACAGAGATTTGCTCATGGATAAAATTTGGATCTATGTTTAACTAGAATCAATAGAAAGAGAAAATAAGGTGTAGAAAATAAATATCCCACCAATATTTAAGTATTCATCAGTATAACAATAAACCTAAAGAATGAGGGTCACATGGAGGGACCTGGAGAGTATTATCCTAAGCAAAACAAGCCAATCAGAGAAAGACAAATATCACATGATCTCACTTATTTGTGGAATATAATGAACACAACAAACTGATGAATAAAATAGTCCCAGAGACATAAAAGTAGGGTACAGACTGACAGACCTAAGAAGTGTGAGTGGGGGGATAAACCACAGAACTTATATGCATGTATGCATAACCAGTGGACATAGACAACAATGCTGGGGACGGGGCGGTGGGGGGGGTGGTCTGGAGGAGGGTGTCAATGGGGGGGAAAAGAAACATTTGTAACAAAAATAAATTAATTAAAAAAATTAAAAAAAAACAAAAACAATGGGGATCATTCTGGCCCATGTGGCTCAGTGGATTGAGCATCATCTGGTGCACTGAAAGGTCGCCAGTTCGATTCCTGGTTAGGACACATGCCCAGGTTGCAGGCTTGATCCCCAGCAGGGGGCATGCAGGAGGCGGCCTATCGATGTTTCTCACATTGATGTTTCTCTCTCTCTCTCCACCTTTCCCTTTCTCTCTCTCTGAAAATTAATTTTTTAAAGTCTTTAGAAAAAATCAGCGTCAAGGTTCCTATAACGACAACAACAAAAAAATGTAATCCTTTCCACCTCTCATCAAATAGCTTGCATTTTTATTGGATGCCTATTGAAGATTAATTTTTTAGCAACAGCGCTTATTAATGTGACATAGCTCTATCTTTAAAATGCTTAAAGCCTCACAATCCCATTAATCCTCAAAAATCGAGAAAAATAACTAGCTAATACCAACAACTGGTGTTATCAGGTTTTTAAATAGAAAGACATTAAAGAAAAAAATGAGAAAAACCTATAAAAGACTAAACTAATTTGTGGCCTATTTTATAAAAAAAATAGGTAGCATTAATGGTGTCCCCTTACCCAGTAAAATCGTCTAACTATTGTGTCAGAGTTTTGATGTTTTCTTATAATCAGAGGAGAACATATAAATCCACATTTGACATTTTAAAACTCTTTTGACCATATGATTGAAGCAGCATACTCTAGTCCAAAGGCTATGAGCATCCATCCACAGTTAGTGGCTACAAGACTATTGGGAGCTTCCATTCACACCTTTTAAAGTCTCATTTACAAAATGAAACTGCCACAATTTAAAAATACACATTATTGATAGTGGGAATTTAAACATATAAAGGAAGCCACTAAATTTCAAAAGAAGAATTTGCTCCTTTAAATCACAAGAGCCTTTACATTAAAGTATTCCCCTAAGACACTGAAGCTCACTGCAATAAACTCAAATAACCCAACTGCCCCTCAGGAAAACCCTAACACGTTAATGACAGATAGGCGGCTGTGAGCACTGTCCCTGTGTCAACATGGGGTTTCACTGGGTACTGAATGTCTGTCATGAGGAATAGAATGGAGAGTACTTACACTATTAAAAAGTCCTTACTGGTTCTATTTAAAGATTTTTTTCCCATAATATGTTAGTCAATATAAAACAAATTTATGATAGTTTTTGTCCAAGCTTTTGTATTCAAGTAGGGATATCTTACCATCTACACTAGCTCAGTTATTCTAAAGTAGTCGACAAATGGCAATGCATCATCTCAAGGGATGAACATGCTTTTGTTCATGGCAAGCAAGTGAAAAACAATCTAAATAAAATATAGTTTGAGAGCTTAACTCAGCTTTCTAGTGTAAATGTATGCCACCTGTCCCCCAAAAAGGGATATTGTAAGTGTATGCACATAGGTGTGTAGCAGTTGTCAACCTCACACATGCCTCACCCCAATAACATAAAGATTAAAAAGATAGTATATGGATTTCAAAACTGTATTCAGTATTACCATAGTGCATTATAGTGTTTCCTAAAACATTGCAAACAATTTATAGGTACTATTTTCAAGCAAGGATGCTACTTTATTAGTCATTTATACCTCCTGTGCTCATCCTGGTGGGCTCTGGTTCTTTCTTCCTCCTGTAGCTGTTGCTTAAATTCCAGTACCTCACTCTAGGAACAATAAAAGTTTTCAATTCATTTGGTTATACAGAAGACACCCAAATCAATTGCATATTTAACCTCAGCAGGTGCAATATTTTATTTCTGAAACTTTTACTTAAGTACTATTTCCTTGTGAAATTATTTTTTTATATAACCAGGTAGCAAAAAATAATTATGCCTCAGTCAAACACTAGCTCTGAGTATAAAACTGTGAGATTAAAAAGCCAATGTGCGTTTTCAAGATATTAGACCAATTGGCAAAGTATACACAGTGGGGAGGACAATGTGAATCCAACTTACCTGTGTCTTACAAAAAAAAAGAAATCAAATTTGTTCCTTAAGTAATGACACACAATACTATTTTTTGGTCATTTCTCTAGCATTTATTTCCCAAAAAATCTATAGTCACTTCCAAACAAATACTGGACTAAATTCTGCAGTGCAATTCCATTAGTAAAACATTCTCCATGCTGGAGAATAGTCACTCAACCTATTATTGACTAATTACTTCCAATATTAGCAAAACTTTTAACTTTCTGGAGGGGACAACTAAATCTCTGGCTTCTGACATTCTGATTAACCTCTTAAAAGAGGTAACAACTTCCAAATTCAGTTACTATGTTTACAGTATTAAACCAAAGAACTGGGTGCCAGGATTTCTCTAATACTCAAATACCTACCTTGAGGCAGACTGAGTTTTAACCTCATTTCAAAGACAGAAAAAGGCAAAGGGAAGAGTTATCAAGCTCCTGTCCTGTTAGTGCCTGAGTCACAGAGATTTTCTGGTACAGAAAATACTGTCACGTCTTGATAAACATATATCAACACATATTTTTAACCCCCAAATTACTTGATGAAAAGTATAAAATGAATTCAAAGGTCAGATTGATATTTGTTTTTTTGTTTTTTTTTTTACTTTATCCAGAGGCCTTCCAACATTCTATGGTCCTCAAAATGAAAAACTGGTTTCTTATATGCTGATATTCCAAATACATTACTTATCATTTTTTAAGGACATTATTTAATTCTAATTCCTGTATGGCACCAAGTACAAGGGAAAAATTAGAGAGTTCTCTATGTAACCATTCCACACACATTTATTAAACACCAAATGCCAAGTCTTGTGCTAGAGAGACTCATTTTTTCACAATAGCATAGTCTTTTTTTTAATTTTAATTTTTGTCACTGTAATATATGTACACAGTTTTAAAAGTCTACCAAGTTACAGTACTACTTATCAGTGCTAGCAAGGTTTACACTACAATGGAAGAAGCTCCAGTCCGCCTCAAGGCCCCCACAATCACTTCCAACACTCTGTGGTTTCATCTTCAACTGTCTCCTTAATAGCATGCATATTCTTCTATTTCTTAATTTTGTTTGTTTTATCTTCTGACTTCATACTATGGAGGAAGATTTATGACTATTACTACCTCCTTCCTAATCCCCACTTTCCCTCTCAGTGCCCCACCGTCCTCGTTCCTCATCCTTACCACTCTGGTTTTGGTTTTAAACTTTCAGTGTGCTAGGGGAGGGGCTCCCTTTAGACTTCCAATTCACCCTCCTCTTTTCAATGCAGCCTTCAGAGGTACCAGGTGCTTCTAATTCCAGACTTGCCTTGGGAGTACTTCTTGCAAATGAGTTCTGGTTTATTCTCCTCTACTTTCCAACTTCCAAAATTTGCTGTTATCTTTTCTTTATGGCCTGTTCTTTAGTTCTTACTGGCTTATGCCTTTTAAAAATGAATTTTCCTTTACTGTATCTTCAGTAAGATTTGGGAAGAGTGGGACTGGAGATAAGCAAACAAAATGTTTGGAAGGTGCAAAGTTTAACCATAAAACCTTAATATTTTCAAACAGAACTTTTACCAGAATTCTGGGTAGGCAGGTAAATAAAGTATTATTTGCTGAATAAATGAATGGACATTATATGCTTGTTTTACAGATGATGAAGCAGAGGGTCAGAAACTCAGTTTAGGGAGATTGTCAAGAACTAAGCAGCTCATTAATAGCAAAATAAAGACCAGTTTAAAATGTTTTGTAACTAATCTTCTGTAAGACATATCTAAAATAGGTGACTAATACAGGATAATTTGTCAATACCTAATCATACTCAAGTATAAACAGCCATGTCTAGAACTATAGGACCCATTTCCACTAAAATGTTCTAGCAGAACATACCTACGTTCAAACCCAAATCCCTCTTGTCAAAGGATGCTAAGTATTCTCATATGCATTAACACATTTCCCTAAGGAGCAACTTCTGGTATCCAGCCCATTCAAAGTTTAATAACATGAACTCTGAGAAACCTAATTTTTATCAGTTCTGAACATGAGAGAAAGATTTTTAAAACTGTAAAATGTATATAGTATATGCATATTATTACTTAGTTCTATAAAATAATTTTAAGGTAATTTTTTCAGCCTTAGCAAAAATGATCCTGAAATTTCTCTGGAAGTAAATATATGATCATAGCCATAAAAAAAAAATTAAATAAAAACCCTTAAAAAAAAAGTGAAATGAGAGAGATCCAGTTGCAATAACTATTAAAACATATTGTAAAACTATACTAATTAAAATCATTTGATTGAGTCCAGGAAAAGACCTAATCTATGGAAATGTAATTTACTTTTGCTGTATGCTAAACCCATACAGGAGAGATAATACGATGAATAATAATGGGCTAGCCAACTATTGTAAGAAAAATTAAAACTTTATTTTTATTTTTATATCAAAATAATGTATTAAAGCCCTAGCTGGTTTGGCTCAGCAGTTAGAGTGTTGGTCCGTGGACCAGGGAGTCCCAGGTTCGGTTCTCGCTAAAAGCATGAACCTCGGTTGCAGTTTGTCCCCGGCCCTGGGGTCGTGCAGGTGGCAGCCAGTCAATGTGTCTCTCTCACATCAATGTTTCTTTCTCCCTCTCTCTCCCCCATTCTATCTGAAGATAAATGCAAAATAAAATAAAATAAAATAAAATAAATGTCCTCAGGTAAGGATAAATAAATGTAATAGAGATCTAAGATATGAATCTGAAAGATGGAACCATAGACATTTTCAATGTTTCTTTCTCCATCTCTCTCTCCTACTTTATCTGAAGATAAATGCAAACATGTCCTCAGGTGAGGATAAAAAAGAAAGATATATTAAATGGCCCGGCCAGTGTGGCTCAGTGGTTGAGCGTCGACCCATACACCAAAAGGTCGTCAGTTTGATTCACGGTCAGGGCACATGCCCAGGCTGTGGGCCAAACTCCAGTGGGGGTCATGCAGGAGGCGGCCAGTTGATGTTCTCTCTCATCAATGTTTCTATCTCTCTCTTCCTCTCCCTTCCTCTCTCTCTCTAAAATCAATAAAGAAAACAAAATTTTTTAAAGATATATTAAATGATGACAGATAGGTTCAGAACAGCTTTCTTGGGACTGCTCAGTGTGAACAGAAAAGATACACATAAATCCATTTCAATTTGTATATGTTGGTGCATATAATACTTAAAACATTTTTACGGAAAAACACATACTAAAAGGTTAACTGAAATCATCACTGGAAAGAGTAACATGCAGGGTGAATGGGCAAGGAAGTATAAACATCAAATATCATTACAGTTTTTTAACTTTTCAAACCACGTGGTTATAGTACTTCCTCATATTATCAACAGAAATTGATCTGTGTGGGACACCATTTCTGTATCTTTATGCTTTCCTGAGTTTAAAAATACCAATAAGTATTGTTTTTAGTCCTTGAAGAGGTAGAAGAGTAAAACACTACATTATACCAAGCAGTCAGGGAGGACAAAAGGAGGCTGGGAGATAAACACGCAACTTCCCACGACAGAGCAACGGGCAGGGGAGGAAGAAACCCGGAGCAGAACAATGGGGATGGGGAGTGAGTCTTCCTCATGCAAGAACATTGCTCCAGACAGCAGAACGAGAAGCTCTGAATTCGCTGCACTCAGGATTATTGTTCTACAACTAGCAAAGCATATTTACTAGGGACACGCTGGCTTTCATTTGGTACCATGAAGGATAATTTCAACTAATGAATTTGTTCTGCTGCATCATCATTATGGACACATCCACATGCCTCTGAGCATATTTCTGGTTCATACTGGGTTCTCACACAGAAGTGCGCTACCTGGTTGGACAGATAAAAAATCATTTGTTTCTGTTCCAAGGACTGAGCTTTGGGCATTAAAAAAACAATCAAAATGCTCTAAGCAGGAGGGACATGACGCACAGCATCTGAGACACTGTCAAGTCCTTTCCTACTCAACACACATTTGTTAAGCACCAATCACTTTCCAGACACCTGGATTCATGCTAAAGGTACAGATGCAAATTGATGCAGCTCCACACTGACGGAAATCACAGTTCAGTGAAGGAGACGGACCCAGAAACAACCATGATACAAGGCAGAAAGAAATGCATTGCTGAACCCAATGTGAAGCAGCATGACATGGGACTATGAAGGAAGGCAGACAAATGGGAGAAACAAGGAGCAAATGTTTCTCAGTGCTGTTTGATATTCTAAGTGTGTAAATGAAGGCTCCTGAAAGAAAGAGAGTGTCTTCTCCTTGCTCTACACAACTTCCTACCTTCAGCTACAGCTCCATTCAAAGAGAGTTCTTAATATGAGAAACAGAATATCGTCTTGGAGATGCCAAGAGCAGAGCTTCCTGTAAACATTGGTCAATGGTACATGGTAAATAAGGACAACACTGCCTGTGTGTGCCCTGCTAGGGCTGCCCTTGCCAGAGGAAAGGCTGCTCTGCTGGGGGGTGGGGGTGGATACCGAGATCCAGTGTTGGGGGCCCCAGCTAACAGCAAGAAAAAAGGGCTCACCATTTCCTGCCAGAAGTTGTAGAACTCATTTCTGTGTTCCCATTTACCCAAAGACTAAATATACAGCAGACAGGTGTGGGCAAGGCCGGACGCTTGAGAAGCCAGATGAGGCTGGAGCGAGGCATGCTCCAGAGCAAGGCTGTGCCATAACTGAAGACGAGGATAGGGTCATTTG